AAAGAGTCGCTTTGTGTCGGCACCATCTTATATCTTTTGGCAAATTTCATGAAGAATTTAGCACATTTTCTCACACTGTTCTCCGAAACATGCTTCGAAAGCTATGCACCATGACTGTCTGGTGCCCCACTCATCCTGTCTTCCCCTTACCATAGACAAAAGTAATCAGTACAGCTGGGATCTCCAGGGATTCCTGGCACCCAGCCATGCAGCAAATCAAGAGCTGTTAATCAGGAGTTGCCCTTCACCATGCACATATTGGAAGGCAAACCAAAAACAAACAATTCTCTGGGCATACCTTGTCCCCCCATCCTCACATGACTCAAGAAAACCAGTATTGCATATAAGAGCATGTTAGGGAATACTTACAGTTCAAGGTGAGGAGAAATCAGCTCCATTGGGCAGCCTATGAGATGCTGGACTGTCTTTGTGAATTGTGGCCCAGAGTTGACACTTTATGTTCTCCCGACATTACTGCTGCTTCATAGAGATGACAATGGTCAGTCTTTATTAACCAATGACATAGTCAAGATTGTTTGTGACTAGGATTTGTTGGACACTGCATGCATTTCACATGTAAGTTACTATGATAAAAGGTGACTTCAACTTGTATTGTGAAAGTGCCTGATAAATGAAATTGCCCTTGAAGAGTCACATATCACTAGACTTCAGCTGGAGTATTGTGCACAGTGTGAGTGCCACATTATAGGAAAGATGTGAAATCATTGGAGAGAGTGCAGAAGTGATTTACAATAATGGTTAACATTTTTGAGTCCAATGATCCTTCTTGAGAATGGGCACAGGAGTTCTGAAGAAAGATCACTGGAACTTGAAACATTAACTCTTCTTTCTCTTCACAGAGGCTGACAGAACTGCTTAGTTTCTGCATTAAATTCTGTGTACATTTTTTTCACAGCACCTGCAGTTCTTTGTTTTATTTTGCATGAATGGTTCCAGGAATGAGAAACTTCAGTTATGAGGATAGCTTGAGGAAGTTGGGATTGTTCTCCTTAGAGAGAAAAAGGCTGAGAGGATGTTTGATAGAGCTTTACAATATCATGAGAGGACTGGACAGAGAGGGCAAAGCTGTTCCTGCTTACAAAAGAAAAAAGAATGATAGCGCATTAAACTAAAGTGATGTACAAACGAAGCAAGGGTGATGTGTGGTAAAGCTTTCTCGCGCAGTGAGCACTTAGGGTGTTGAATGCACGACCTGGAAATGTGATGGAGGCAGGTTCAGCTGAGGCATTCGGAAGGGCACTGGATCACCACTTGGATAGAAATGATGTTCAAGGATATGGAGAAAAAGAAGGGAGATTGGTATTAGGTAATAGAAAAGGTGCAGGCACATTGTGCAGAAAGGTCTCCGTGTACACTGTAACAATTCTGTGACTGTAAAACTCATGTGCTATGCCAGAAAAATACAACATTTACTGCATCCACTCCAGGTGTAGTTGGGCTCACTTTCCATTTCCATTGCACACTTATGATTTACATGCATATGGAAACCAAAGTTGCACTTAGCACAGCAAGTCACAAACTGAGTTAGTAATCAAGGAGCCCCATCCAAACCTCCAGCTTCCTTTCTTGCTGAAACCCCTTATTGAACCCATCACTACTGAGCTTCCAAACATTCTTGCACTCTTCTTTGAATTACACCTTCCTTTCTCAACACCTGAAAGCCCTGGACCTACAGTTTAGTCATGTCAATCACTATATTGCACTATGCCTCTACTGAGGCCAGGGTAGTTGTGATAGTTGATGGCCACCCCCCAGGAGCCCATGTCCTCCATTGCCAAGCCTCTTCCCCCTTTAAATATTGATTTACCCTCCCTTCAGAATTATTGTTCAGTCTGCATCCCAGCATACTGCTTCCAATCTCTAGAATTGTGTTCCCCAACTTCCCGACCACAGCAGTGGCCCCTACTTTGACTGTTATTGAGCTGAGCCCTATGACTGACCATGGCCCACCCCAGCCAACTTGGATTGACAGACCCAACTAATGTGCAGCCAGATCCCTAACTGATCTCTGTGCAGCTGAATGCGATACCCACATTGTCATGCTCACGAGTGAACACCAACACAACATATTCATTTCAATCCATACCTATATCCTCTGACTCCATGCATAATTTACCAATGTGGGCCTTAATGGTCCCTGCTCTTTCCCTTAATATCCTTAATGTAATTGTAAAATAATTTGAGATTTTCTTTTATTTTACCTGTCATTATCCTTCCATGCTCTCTTTACACTCTCCTAATTTTCTTTTTATGTTTCTCTTTGCACATTCAGTATTCCTCCAGGTCTTCTGCTATTTTCAGCCCTCCATATTTGCCATAAGGTTTCCTTTTTCTCTTTAACCAATCCTGTATATCTCTTGATATCCAGGATCACAGGAATTGTTGGTCCCATGCTTTGTCTTATTAGAACATGTTAGCCCTATACTGTCTCTATTTCCTTCTTGAATGTGTGTCACAGCTCTGACACAGATTTACCTAAAAGTATCTGTTCCCAGTCTGCTCTAGCCGAATTATACCAGATCCTATTAAAATCAGCCTTCCCTCACTTTAGAACTATGATTTCAGGTCCACCTTATCCTCTTCCATAACAATCTTGAATCTAACAGAGTTATGATCACTGTTTGCAAAATGCTCCCCCACTGATACTTCAACCAAGTAGTTGACTTCATTACCTAAAATTACCTCCAGGACTGCCACTCTCTTGCAAGGCCTTCTACATAATATCGACTGTCCTGGATACATTTTAAGAATTCTGCTCCCTTTAAATCTTTCACACTGTGAATACCTCAATTAATGTTGGGGAAGTTGAAATCTCTACTATCACTACCCCAATACTTACACAATTCTCTGAAACTTACCAACTTATCTGTTCTTCTTTTTGTCTCATTCGAAGGGACCTCTAGTACGCTCCCAGCAATGTGATTGCACCTTTTTGGTTTTTTGTTCTCCCTGTATGACATCATTTGAGAAGCCTTCTAGGATGTCTTCCTTCCATACTGCTGTAATTGTTTCCACGATCAATATTGCAACATCACCTCTCTTGTCTCCTTCCCTGTTTCACCTTAAGACCCTTTTCCCTGGGACATTGAGCTGCCAGTCCTGTCCCTCTCTAAACTATGCCTTAGAAATAGCAATTAAATCATACTATCACGTTTTAATTTGTGCCCTCAGTTCATCTGCCTTGCTCTTCAGACTCTTTGCATTAAAATAAATGCCATCCAAGCTTGTTTGCCAAACTCCCTTTTGCCTTAACCGGCCTATAATTTCTATGCCTTCTTGATTCCCTTGTGGTATCTTCTAATTTTGGCTGTTCATTTTCTCTGCTGAATCTTCACTGAAGATTGCACCACTCCCCTTCCCCCTGTCCCCCCCACCCCCTGCCTGTCAATCTGAAATAAAAACAGAAAATATTGGAAATACTCAGCAGCTTATGGCAGCATCTGTGGAGAGAATCTGAGTTAACATTTCAGGTCTGTGACTGAAGGAAATTGGGAGGATTCCAATGCTGTAAATTGCAAGTACATTTGCTTCTGTAAACAATAGGAAAAGAGTGCACAGTATGACTTGGCTCCTCCACTTTCACATTTATATATGAATAATGCAAGGCAAGCAGCTAAAAATCATTCCAGTGAGATTCATATCATTCAAAACAACTTCTGGGCCTGACCGGATGGGCCAGATGCCCACATTACATTGGGCCTCAGGCCTCATCTTGATCGAAATGTTGAACTGTTGACACCCTATGGACATCTTTACGAAGCTCAGTAGAGAAGTCTCTTTAGCAGCGACCCTCAGGTAAATCTTTAAAGGTGATTGAGAAAAGGAAGGTTGACCGAGAGAGTGAGAACAGTGACTTGAGGCGGGAATGATCTGAAGGGGGCTACAAGAAAGAGGTTCAACCTTTGATCAGATATGGGAATGTTGCAGTCAGAATTGGGGCAAGCAGTGACTTTTCTCATATAGTGTCAGGAAGAACACTCCAGCTACTCC